CAGCTGAAGTAGCCTGCAGTGCTGCATTTAACCACTGTGCCACCTCGGCTCTTATTATTATTAGTTATTAGTTACTATTATTGATTAGTAATTGTTGTTGTTAGTTGCAAAGCCGTGTCTGACCCATCGCAAGCCCATGGACAATGTTCCTCCAGGCCTTCCTGTACCATCCTCTGGAGTCCATTTAAGCTCACACCTACTGCTTCAGTGACTCCATCCAGACACCTCATTCTCTGCCGTCCCCTTCTTCTTTTGCCCTCCATCGTTCCCAGCATTAGGCTGTTCTCTAGTGAGTTGCATGAGACTCCAGGGGAGTTGCATGGAACTGGGTTATCTTATCTTTGGATTCCTATTTGGGAGACCTGAGGACCTGCAGCTCTTAAAAATTAACCACAAAAACCCAACTCCAGAAATCAGTTTTCAGTGCCCTGCATAACCATGCAATGTGCAAAGAAAGCAGCCCCTTTGATCATTTTTAAGCTGTAGAGGTAGACCTTGACCTATGACCCCAATTGAGCTCAACATTTAGGTTGCTAAGTGAGACATTTGTTAACTGAAGTTTGCCCCATTTAAGGACCTTTCTTGCTACCGTTGTTAAGGGAATCACTGCCATTGTTAAGTTAGTAGCACTGCTGTTAAGTGAATCTAGCTCCCCTATTGATTTTGCTTGTCAGAAGTTTGCCAAAGGTGTATTCCCATGACTCTGGGGACAATGCAACCGTCATAAATATGAGTCTGTTGCCAAGCACCTGAATTTTGATCACGGGACCACATGGAGATGCCTCAACGGTCATTAAGTGTGACAAACGGTCAGAAGTCACTTTTTTCCAGTGACATAACTTTGGACGGTCACTAAATGAAGTGCTCTAAATCGAGGCCTACCAGTATTTGCTACAGGCCATTGTTGTTGTTGTGTGTGCAGTATATGTAGCTCCTTCAATCCAGTCAACTGGGTAAACCGAGGCACAGCTCCCTATTTTTTTCAACAAACCCACTTCAGTTCCCCTCAAATCCCAATTCACAGAACATAAAATTTAAACCCCACCTGACTCAAAAAAGGTCCTTTCCCCGGAGTAATTCAAACCCCCAGAGCGCGTTTTTCCCCCCCCCAGGGCAGGGTATTCTGACTCAAACATTTGAGGGAGGTATTCCTCACTCCCGCAGGGGCCACAGTTAATCCCCACCACCCCATCCAGAACCCACGAAGAAGAAGGCCCTCTCCCTCGGCTGAACTACGGGGGCGGCTGCAAAATGCCCCCTAAGGGAGACGAAGCGCTCTCCCAAACAGGCGACCGAATGTCAAACCCCTCAAATGGAGGGGACGGGACGCAACGAGGGGTTGGTATTCCGGGGAAGAGGCGCCCGCCTCCCGCTCTGTTGCTGCGCCTCCCTCGCCAGCCCTCTCCCTTCTGCTTCGGTGACTCCTCCTCAGTTCTTCCACCTTATGCCGCGGGCGACCACAAGCCAAGGAACCGGCGCCTAGTCACGGCGGGGCGGAGGCGAGGAAGGGGAAGGGGGAAAAAAAAACCGGGAAAGCCGAAGGCACTCGCGGCTGACCTCAGCGCTGGGGAGCGGCCGCCCAGCGGCTCACGCGGCTTGACCAATAAAAGCGCAGCTGAGCGCGGCTCCGACTGTTCGAAGGCTCTGCTGCCGTCGCTTCTGCCTCGCCGCTCCCAACTTGAGTGACCTGAACGCCTCGTGGGGGCAGCTCGACCCAGCCGAAAGGATTTGACTCGGGGGTCGGCTTGGCCGGCGAGCGGAGGGCAAAGATGCTCTTTTGGCACTCGCAGCCGGAGCATTACAACCAGCACTCGACGGGCAGCTACTTGCGGTGAGTCAGGCGAAGGGGAGCAGCCGCGGGAGGGTCGGAGAAAAGGGCGCGGGATGCCCACGAGCCAAGGGGATGGAGGGGGGTAGGAGAAGAAGAGGAAAAGAAAAGGCAAGGAAAGAAAAGGAAAAGGAAAGGAGGAAAGGAAAGGAAAAGGAGGAAAGGAAAGGAAAAGGAAAGGAGGAAAGAGAAAAGAAAGGCGGAAAAGAAAGGAAAGGAAAAAGGAAAAGGAGGAAGGAATGGAATGGAAAAGGAAAGGAAAGGAAAGAAAACCGCGCGTGGCGGGTCAACTAGTCAGGAGAATCCTAAGTGGCCGCTGAGGAAAAACCACCGCCCGCTTCTTTTGCTAGGCTGCGTTGCATTGTTTGGGGGTCGGGGTCGCTTCAGTCTGAATGGGGGGGGGGGCGAATCGGAGAAGGTTTCTGAAGCGCGGGGCGCGGGGGTAACCCGAGGGCATCATTAACAAGCGCAAACCAGCCGGTGTTATCCAACGTGTCCTCTTCAGGAGGGATCCTGAGCTTTTGGTGAGAGGCGTTTGGTGAGAAAGCTTTATAGGAAGAACCAACCTGCGTCCGGAGTTCGGGTGGTTTTGTACTGTATGTATGTATCGCACTCTCGGTGCAGGAGGGCGCTTTTCGGGGCATTGGCTACTCGGCGTAAACTCCTCTCCTTTCGAAAAGATTTGACATCATACGGTGAAAGGTGGAAGAAACAACAAAAGAACCGAAAGGGGGAAAATACAACCGAAGTGAATAGATAGGTTTGCTAACAAGGACCTCGCCCTTTCCCCCCAGATCAATATGAGTGTAAGATCCAAGTTATACGTCTATGGAGATTCTCATCCAGGTCGTGGTTGTCCCAAAGGTGCTTTTTCTGAAGAAGAGCTGAGAAAGCTCCTTGGATGAGCAGCCAAACGTCTTCAAAGAAAAAGCGGGAAGCCCAGTTGCCTCTTGAAAAAGCACCCTTGGGACATCCAAGTTATACAAGGGCGCTGCTTGAGCGTCTTTATGTGGGGATGACTTCCTGAATGTTAGAATGTCTGAAGCCCTTGATTCCATCCTGGGAGCTTGTTTGCATTACGGGGATGTATCTAGGCTGTTTCACACTCTGCGAACTGCTGCCTTTTCTCTGTGTAGTGGAATATTATTATAGGGTACCTAATGACCATCCCCCATAGTGGATATCTGAAAAATATTTAAAGAAGTGAACATTACAGAAAACCTCTGTGGATTACAGCTCCTATTTCCTATCAGGGTGTGGGTTAACTATTTCAGATCAGACTAAGATTAATGAAAAATGTGTGATTTAGGGAAACTGATTTATGGTGGGATCTGAAAATGGGAAGGTGGTGCACCATATAATTTGGACTAAATAACCAGCAATCTGGTATTGTGTGATTCCCCCATTTGTGTCTGTCAATTATGGTTTTTAAAATTGTCAGCAGTTGCCTATCTCATACTTTTCCCCCTCACTGCCTGTTGTGGGAAGGTCAGTATGGCAGTCAATGTTGAAATTTGTAATATACTATCTTGTGAAAAGATTAATACATTTACTAAGGAATAAATACTTTCACTAAATGCTATTCTAATTTGGCAGACATATCTTTTCAGTAACCTATACTGTAAGTCTCTTTTTCGTGTGTATATGCCTTGGCTTATAGTCAGTGTTTGATTCTTGACAATTACCTGGACAAGTCCCTTCAGTTTTCCTGGCAATGATTTTTGGAAGTGATTTGCCATTGCCTTCTTTATAGGACTGAGATAGTGATTGACCCAAGATCACCCAGGTGATGTCCTGCCTAAGGTAGGACTAAAATTTGCCATCTCCCTTTTTCTAGTTGGATGCCCTAAGCAATACGTCAAACTAGCTCTCGGTATAGATCTCTGCAACTTTATATATTTACATACAAATGTATGGATTTTAGTCCATCATATGTTTATTAGAATCCAATAATCAATGAACCCAAAGGAACTTTCAATTTGAAAGATGTAGTAGCAAAAAAGAAAAATGTAATACCAAAAAGTGGGGGATAGAAGCAGAAACATTTGAAAATAAGGCAAGAGTTAGTGGTTATATAGTATGTCTCTTGTCTTCATTTCTAAGGTTCAAAACCTTTGTTTTTGCTGCAGTTCCTTATGCAAATCTGTGTCATAATATGCAGTTCTAATGCAAAGCATGGGGGGGGAGGAACCCCACAAGAAGTAAAAGAAAAGGAAAGCAGGAGATAAGGGGGGGGGGGAAGTAAATGTAACTGAATCAACATTCCACAAAACTATTCATTAAATCATTCTGTCCCTGCAAGTCATCCTTGCTTCAACCATCTCACTGGAGTATCTATAGACACACTGCTGTTTAAGAAACAAAAGGTCTTATGACATTTCAAAGCAAAGAAAAATAACCAATTTTAAAGACTAAAAATTGTTCAATTTATTATAGCATAAAAGTTTTGGGGATATGATCCACTCTATCAGGTATGTGAAAACACTTTGTTAAACAGATTGTGATCAACAAAACTTTCATATAATAAAAGATGCTTAGTTTGTTGCAGAAAAAAAAGAAACATAATTCACATTCTAGTCCTTCTTAATTAGATGTAGATGGTTTTAAAAAGAAAATAACCTATTGGTTATATTGAATAAAGATGTTCAAATGAGGTTGCCTGAAGTAAATCCATTTAATGAACACATTTGGAAGACACAAAGTGTTCTTTCAGAAGTTCCAAGAACTTGTTGATTTAAAAGACTGTCTAATGGTTCTTTAAATCTGTGGCCTCAACCCTGCCCCTTCTACCCCCACGCCTCTATGCATGATGAGTAGTTCCTTTAATTCATTTTATGTACTGGACTTGATGAATCCAGTTTTTTCCTGCTTTATTTCTATGTTAGTCATGTTCTGCTTAAGTATCTTTAAGCAAAAAGGACAGTGAACAATGAAATAACAAATGGAAGGTCTTCATTTGAGCCCCCTAAGCAGCAAGCCATAAGTGAAGAACTCCTTTGTTTTAATATGATTTTATGTATGTAGTTAGGGAATCATTTTAAAAAATGTATAATTGCTCATGCTGCTTAAAAATACATTGTTTGGCAACATCTTTTTAAAGCTAATTACAATGCCATAATAAGTAAATAATTTTTTAGACTTCACAGAAGTCTTCATCAGATTAGATAGGACTGAGAGTAAGGAAAGCAGAATTGGTTGAGTAAAATTAGATTCACGAATCATATTATTTGTTTGGCTTGCCTTTGTTTCTGTGTTAATTTAGTCATTGTGCCTGAGAAGCCATCCACTAAAGTCTTGCTTAGAAGTTTTAATGTCATTATCTAAGGATTAGAGTGTGTCTCAAAAGTTGGCAGCACCTACCCAATCTTTTCTAAACTTGGAGCTTAGCTTACTATTTAGATAAAAAACTTACAAGGAATACCAATAGGTATGCTAATTAGAAAACAAAACATCCCAGAAAAATGTAGTGATGCACCAAGAAAACCTCATGTTTTTATGATGTTACCACAATCTGAATATGACTTGAAGTGAACTTTACAGAGATTATCATGTATGCTGCTCTTAAATGAAGCCTGAGACCTGTTGCATAACATTTTGCCAGCTCTAATCTAGTTAAAGCATGTGATAATTTGCTTAAATTAGGAGCCAGGCTTCTTAATCCTTATCAACTAGTACACCTTTCCCCCACTCATCTTTCCAGTCAATTTACAGATTTCCCCAGCCAGCAGCACATCCTGCTGGTTAAAAAGTCTGGGAGTTGTCATCCTTACTTACTTACTTACTTTTCAATAGATCTGAAAGGGGTAAGTAAATAATTGAAGCACAAATGTGGATAATGTCACTCTGGGAAGCTTAACTTCCCAGAGGCAAACACAAGTTCTTCTGAATTTGCTGAAGCCATATAATTGGAAGATAAGGAACCCTGCTATGATCTTTGTCAGCTTGCTGGGCCTGCCCTGCTGAAGTTGTTACTTTCATGTATTGGGAGGACACAGCTGTCTTTAGCTTCTCTCATCACTGCTGATCTTTGTTAAACACAGTACATTTTTCTGTTCTGGGCAATTCTGAAAGGCACAGGAATAATCTGAGACACCTCTGCTGGACTGGAGTAGAAATTATCATTGTTTCAATCTTATGTTTCAGTTAATATAATAACATTATGGTACAGGACACTCGGGCTAATCATGTTTAGCCAGCATGTTGCATGGAGCCAGGCCACTTGATGTTTATGTTTATGATATAGTATATTGTGCAAATCCAGAAATTGAAGTAAATTCATTCATTTAACCATGGATGAGCAATAGAGGTGGGTTTCTGCCGGTTCGCCCCGGATCGGGCGAACTGATAGTGGTAGCAGCAGGAGGCTCCGCCCACCTACCCGGAAGCTCCTCCACATGTGCAGAAGCATCATGTGAGCATGTGCGTGCACATGAGCAAAACAGTAAAATAAATTGAAACCCACCACTGATGAGCAAGTTGTGTAAAACAATTGTCTTGCCACCAAGGTGAATTCATAGCAGGCTTGGTGGAAGCTGATGTTCATTGTAGAGTCAAGTTCCATCCACATGTGATTTCCCAGGTACTGCTTACAATGTTTTCAAATCTCTTTGTGTGAAAGACGGAATCCTTTGAGGCTAATGCTGAGTCGCTCTTTTTAATGATGTTTATCTGAATTATTTCTGACCAAGATAGAGTTTCTTGAAAAAGACAATATAGTTTTGTTTAATTTGAGTTTAAATTCATAGGAATCTGAAGCTTCCTTGGGTTACAGAAAATCCTAGTACAGAATAAGTGTCTTTAGGTAACTTCACAACCCTGCTTTGTTGCTTGCATAAGCCACAGTGACAGAGTTTACACAGCACTGAATCAAACCAGGCTACCTAATGGCTTTCCAGAATGTGTGAACCCAACCCTACGTGCTTATTTCTGATTGTACTTTTAAGTGTACACAGAATTATATTCTTAATCCTGTTAACATTAGGAGGAGAGAAGGAAAGTAGGGA